GCTTCTTGACTAAATAGCACACTCGTTCGAAGCGTTGCAACAAGATGCCAAGCATGAAGGTCTTGCCGGCGCCAGCTACGCCGTCGACCACCACACGTCGACGTCCGCCGCCGCCGCCGCAGCCAGTCGCTGGCACGAGGGGGGTGACCGAGGCGGCGGCGCCGGCGGCAGTAACGATCGGTACCCGCAGAATGTTCTGCAGTGCGCCCAACACTCGCACCAGTTAGGCGGTAATTGTCGTCGGCGGTGGTTCGACGGCGGCGAGCGTTTCATTTTGTGGGACCGCCGTGTGGTGTAAGGCATTAAAAAAACCACCCGCTGCTTTCTTCGATGTCCAGTGACGACGCTTACTGGACGACGAGGCGACGTCGCGATCGCTCAGAGCACGATCGCTGTCGCTACCCTGTAGAATCACATCCACCAGACCGTGATGGACGCGAGCGTCTGGCTCCACTACTATACACGAGTCGCCGACTTCGAAAGGACGCAGACTTTCCGTAGATCTAATTGTATTGAAATCGCACGTGTCGCCGGCGCAGCCGTTAGTGGCCACGGACGACGACTACGACGATGCTGTACCGGGAGAAGGCGATGGTGTCAGTAGAGCCGACACTGCCCGTACGAACGCGTCTTCGCGAGAAAAGATTCGCGTCACGTTCTCCTGCGGCATCCATACGAAATTCATTGCGTTGCGATCGTAGGAGATAGGCAGAAACGACATCACTCTGAACCACTGAAAAAACAGCCAGATTTGTAAACGTGCTATTTCATTATCTCGGCCGCCGTCGCCGCCGCCATCGCCGCCGGCGGTAATTTCCGTCAGAATCGACAACCGGCGCATCGAGGCCAAACGCTGATTTTCCGCGTCACGATTGAGCAGACGATATCGTCGAACGGTTGCCGCCAGGCGCAGCGCTCGATCCACGAACCACTCAATCCCGCAACGACGATCGGAGCGCCGCGCGAAATAGCACGATTCGCTTTCGCTTCGTAACAAAGCTTCCACGCGATTGCGAAACTCATCGTCGTCGTGATCCTCGTCAAAGACGCAGTGTAGAAACTCCGCGATGAGTTTGTTACGGGCCGTACTGGCGTAACTGTCGTCGTAAGGGTACTCGCCGCCGCCACACGCGATCCAACCATCGTCGTAGTTGTTCTCGTCGTCCTCAGCGTCGCTGCCGACGTCATCGTCGGCCGATGACGCCGCACCGACATCCATGATGGTCCGACGACATATCTCTATGCGAGAAAGCAGCAACTTGGACGCTGTGAGATCGGTAGCCGTACTTTCTAGAATCAATCTCAGCGTGAGTCGATGCGGTTCCATCGAATCGTTCTCTTCGTGCAGCATCCGACTAGCGACTCCGACAATATTTTCCAAACGGCCTAAACTGGCCAGTTCTATATCGTCGTGATACATCGTTACTACGAGGCGGTAGGCCTCGATGCGCCGGAGTGAAAGTGGAATTAGACTAAATAAAAGAATTTACGTCTTCTCGATACATTGCCCGGCTAACCAGTACTGGTTGGTCAAGCTATCGAACGTGAATTCGTATTCCTGATCTCGGTATCGCGTCACAAAGTTTGAGGCTAAGCAAAGCCACGAGTCGGGATACATTGCCACCTTCGGCTTGCCGTGGTCCAGCAACATGACCGTGTTGTCGGTATCTACGACCTCTATGCCTTTCGGATAATACTCGGCGATTTGATCTTGGGTGGAGTGTTTGGTCTGAAAATCTTGCTTCAACGTACGAGCTTTGCAGTCCCAGTGCAAGTGCCAGATCCCAACGCCGCTGTGTTCGTCCATGGCCATCGGTTCCGGCCCGTGCAAGACAAAATCACAGTTTTTCACTTTGGTTATTTTCACATAGATGTCGATCGTGTGCTTGGCGTAGTCACACAGTATGAATTCGTCGCCGTAGTAACGGCCGTGCACGGCTTTGTTCGGCGACTCCATTTGCTGATTGACATCGTAAATCATGTGCGAGAAACTGTAAAAGTGCCGCAGAATGCCGACTGTTCCGTACGCAAACACGAATCCGGCCTGTAACACTTGAGACTTTCTTTTCGATCCGTTGAGAAAAGAATCGGTAGTGGTCGTTCGCGAGGGAATCACGCATCTCGACTCGACCAGTTTCGTTTTGGTCGCATCTGTGTATTTCTGCGCGATGAACCCGATGTCAGGAAACGTCGGGGTGTAATCCTGGCCTTTGAAGAACACGCGTCGGCACTGAGTCCAGTATTGCGCCATGTCGTTGTTTGTGCGGTAGGCTTCGTAATACGCGATCCATGGCACTTGACCGCGCATCGAGAACGCATAGTCTGGTCCGTACATTCGCAGAAACAGACACGTGGGAATGCATTCGATGCCGTACGGACTGTCCGCCACTGTGAACTGCGTCAATCGGGCATCTCGCGCATGAAAGCCTATGCCACCGTACTTGATCTCACGATGGCCCAAGACCCGCTGACAGCGTCGCCAGTCCAGCAGAAAGTTGCGCATGAGATTATCCAAGTCGACCAACGGTAACGACATTTTCGTCATTTCGAACAAGTAGTCGTAGGCCAGTACGTTCGTGTGCGTGATATACGTGCAATCGTTGTACAAACCTTCCTCTTTTCTCCGTTCCACCGTCTGAAACTTAATGTACGTTCTGGCATATTCGTAACTGGGATGGCAGGCTGCTTCGTACACGTCACCTTTCGTATAGTGAGCCGCTATCCACGGCAAGGCCATGTATACTGCGTTGGCTTGATTGCGTTTTTGACCCAACGAGAAGCAAAGATCTCGAATGATCTTGAGAACTAAATCAGCGGCGAATAGTTTTTCCTTCTCGTCCGGGGCTATCAGGATATAATAGAATAACATGAGCGTGGAAGTGATGGAGAACTCGTACCAGTTAGTACCCCAGGGGAAAACCTTGTCGAACTTCCCCTCCATTGCCTTGGCATATCGCTGGATGAAGTCGCCGGTCACTTGGAGAATGCGCGGTCTTTTGCTCGCCGAGTTCGGGTGTATGTAGTGCTGCGCCATCTTGACGAGCCAATTGCGCATATTGTCGAGGACGACGTTGTCGACGTTCCAGCGCGACTGGACCACCGTGTCGGTGGCCGGTAACGTGCGATAACGCTCCAGATCGCCGGGGTTCGGCTCGTCGGGGAGAATGATGGATGCCTTGAGAGCGCGATCCATATCGAAGCGTTTTTCCTGCAACCAAGTCGGCGGGTCAGGCACACCGAAGCGTTCGTTCATGTTGTAGTAATAGTTGTTAGCCTCATAGAAATTGTGCTGCTCGTCGGTCACGTGGAAGATCACCGTCGAGCGGTACAAGCCGAATGTAGCAACCGACAGTACGATAGTATAGTCAACATCGCGGCCGCTGCCCCCCTCTTATCACTTGGTAGCGATCTCTCTTCTCAGATCACACCGCGGCGATCGCGGTTGTCGCCACCTTGCGTAGGCCGACTAGAGCCTGACAGTGGCCCGTGGAACAATGATCCGCTCCGGCGGAAGGTTCATTCGGTGCAGTGCCGCGCCGCGAACGAGTGGCGCCGCCGACGATTTGCCGTTGCTCAGCTATGGCAGCGGCCGGCAGCAGCTCATTGCGGCAGCGGCGCCTCTTGCCGCCCAGAGACATGGAGTGCGGCTTGATGCGCGGCGTGATTTTGACATATTGGTTGTAGTTGCGATCGATACTGAATCTGTTGCACCGTGAGAGTCTGCAGAATGTCCACCATGTCATCCTTGCTAATCACATACACGTGATTCGTCTCGTCTTCCGCGGAGAGCGCGTAATGCAATTTGCCGTCTTCGAGGAAACAGGCCTCCGGGTACACCGTGGCCTCCTGCGATTGCCCGAAGAAGGACTGAATGTCCATCGGATGACACAGGATGCGCGACGTGAGCTGCGGATCGTCGAAATCGGCATAGGCATACACGGTTACGGAGGTGCCCGGGGGAACGCGGCGTACGGTACCTCCGCGTTGCACGGACGTGTAATACGTGGCTGAGCGGTTCGTGCCGTTGCGCATCACGGTATGCAGATATACGCGTTTGTTGTGCTTGTCGAGCAAGCACCACTCCTCCACGATGAAACCGCGGAACATCTCGTAGCGTTGCGCCATGACTCCAGTCGAGTTGGTCGTCATCACGGTGCCGCTGGCTCGCAGCGGATACAACGCGACCAAGCCGCCTGCCTCTTCGCCCACCCGACAGTTGGCCAAGATCCACGCTTCGTTCTCGCCGTCGAGCACGATGCTCCCGAGTTGAATGAGACTGCGGTTCGCGATGTCGTTATCCCCCAGCAGCACGAACATGCGGTTCTACGCGCAAGTATGCATGAGCCGCAAGTCAAATTGCCCGGGTAGGTAGGCGTAGAACGGCATATCCTCTTTCATGATGCGACGTCACCAAGCGTAGCGCTGAGCGTACATGCGAAGAAAGCCGATGCTAGGAATCGCTCGGAGGCCCACGTCGGTGATCGGCCAGAACCAATAGCTCGGAATCACCGACCCCGGGCCGAAGAGGCCGCTACAGCTATAGCGCACCTGAGCGTGCACCAGATAACGCAAGCACGCGAACTCGTGGTTGCGGCCGACCATCTCGTCCACGCGATCGTCCATTTTGCGTACGTTGCGAATGTACACGTAACGGTGCCGTAAAACAGATCGCCGTAAAACGGAATGCGTGCCTGCAACAATCGACTGTTGTCGCGCAAGCGCAAGACCTGATCGACCTTCGGTGGCTCGTAGTAGAGATACGGTTCTAACGAGACGGCCTTCTCGTGCAACGTCTGCAGCATCTCGGCGTAGTGACGATTGTGCCACCAGTCGCCACGACTGCCGTCGGCTCGAGCGGCTAGAATCCAGGCGTTCGCCAGCCGATACGCGGTCATGGGATCCACGCGCTCCGGCGTCCGCGCGAATACGTCGTAGGGATCGCGCATCACGCTGCGTATACACCGGCGAGACATGTCGCGTACACCACTGTCTCGTACGAAGTAGAGGCATTGCACGAAGTGAGCGGTCGACATGGTCAAGTACATGCGCCAATCGTTGAACGGAGCGCCTTTTGGTAACTGGACGTAAACCGATAGAATTGATTGGCAAAGTCCCGCAGCACCGCCACGCACCGTACGTACGCGTCGATCGAGCCGATGGAGTTATTGCTCTCGGTCACGACGAAGCGCAAGATCTGATGCTGAAAGTAAAACATGGAGACGAAAGCTCGCTTCTCGTACCACCACGAGCCGAATAATACGGTGCCGCGATCTGGCGAATTGTCCGCATCGTGATCACTCACGAGTTCGTACGCCAGCAAATTGCTCGGTGGCTTGTTCAACGGCTCGACGAACGCCAGCGGGTTCGGGTAGTCGGGATGCGGAATGTTATCTTTACCGGAGTCCTCGTCATCGTCTTTGCGATGATCGATTTTTCCGTCGGATCCATCTCCGCCCTTGTTGCCGTGGTCCGGCTTCTTGCCGCCGTCACCGCCGGCCGGCGGTGGATTCTTGGCATCGTCTTGCACATCGACATTATCTTCATCGTCCAGATCATCGTCGCTGTCGTCCATCAGCGGAGATTCGGTCTCTTCATCGTCCTCACCGCCGCCGCCGGCCGACTTTTTTTCCAGCGATTCATTGGCTAAAGCGCGGCGTTCATCTGTTCTGTCGACAGGACTGATCTCGCCCGCGAGAGCTTGTCGTTTCACGCGCACTAATTCCTCAGAGCTACCATCATCAACCTCCATTTCAGGATTCAGTTCCTCGCCGCCCGGGCCGCCGTCGAGCTTTTCTTCATCTACTCGATTGGTCTCATCGACGTCAGGATTCAATTCCTGGCCACCCGGCTTGTGGTTGCCGTCGCCGCCAGGCTTGTGGTTGCCGTCGCCGCCAGACTTGTGGTTGCCGTCGGGCTTGTGGTTGCCGTCGGGCTTGTGGTTGCCGTCGGGCTTGTAGCCGCCGTCGTGCTTGTGGCCGCCGTCGGGCTTGTGGCCGTCGTCGTTCTTGTGGCCGCTGTCGGGTTTTCCATCATCTGCTCGATTGCTCGTTTCCTCAGCAAGGCCTAATTCGTTACCAAACGGTCTAGTGCTCTTCGCTCGAGCGCGTTCAGCTTGAAATCTCCTGGTGGCGAAAGCAGTTTTGCTGAAAAAACAATAATGTATGGTTATGCATATCAGGCAAAAGGCCACTACTGCAAAAGCCGCATTAGCAGAAGACGCGGCTCCTATGCAGCCAAAGAGGAGCCAGATACATGTACGCTTAGCGCTTGAACTGTCAATATACATTTATAAGTGCGCATGCATGGCTGCTTCTTGTGTATGTGCACTTTTAAATCCGTAATGTCAAATTAATTTGAATCATTTTTAATTATTCCTATAAGTTGCCACTGCTCATACTAAATATGTCGTTAATTTAACTGAGATAGAGAACTGGCTCTTTGTGTGCGTAGACGCCGCGTCTTCTGCCCAGCAACGCTGCCGTGACGGTCACTGTGAAAAGAATAATGCGTACACGAAAGAAAGAGATGGAACGTCATATATCTATCTCCTTCTGTTACTCATCGCCCGACGTTCTGAACGCACACGTACACGGACGCACACACGGAGCTATCCATTTCAGTATAGCCCCGAACGGTCTGCCTCTCTGGCCTAT